GAAATAGCAGCAATATCGGTAATGATCTTTTTGAGGGTTTCCATTCGCAGGGGTCGATGTTTCAGCAAATATAAAGATCTTACTTAAACGCTGCTGAAGCTTTAAATTTTTCAGGGCCCGTTTGTTTCTTGAAAAATCCGGAGAAATAACCCGGATGGAAGAAAAACAGGTTGGATTATGGTGGGTATCCACTATGAAATCGCAATTCTTATCCAGCGCTAAGAGAGGATTTTGCTCCGTATCTTGCGGTAGACAAGTTTCCCGGTATCAGGCTTTATGTTCGCTGTATCCCCGGTCTATACTCGGTGGAGACAGGCTTGACAGCGTGTAAACAGCGTATCAGCAAGGGGTAAATATCCAGTCAACTGTGACTGGACCCCGAAACAGGTACGACATTAATTTAAATAAAGTATTATGGCAAGAATTACAAAAGGTTTATTGGGTGGTTTCAGCGGAAAAGTGGGCGCGGTGGTTGGTTATACCCTATATGGTATAGACCGGATGAGGAGTTTACCAGAGCGGACTGTTCCTCCCACAGAAAATGAATTGAAAAACAGAAGCCGGTTTAAGCTGGTGCAGGAAGTGTTGAACTCCATTAAAGGGTTGATTCAGGTTGGTTTCAAAGACTATTGGACAATAAGCGGAGGGATGCGTGGAGCCCTTTCCTATAACAGAAAATTTGCCCTTAAAACAGATGAGGAAGGAGATTACATTGATCCGGTTTCGTTTAGAATCAGTGGCGGAACTCTTACTGGTTTAACAGCAGTTGCGGTTGTGCAGGAAAATGAGGAACTGTTGCGCTTTAACTGGGACCCTTCCGTTGTTGAAGGAGGTTCTTCTTATGATCAGGTGATGCTGCTGGCGATAGATATGCAGGGTAGGAAAGCTTCTTATCAAAGTACGGGTAATTTCAGAAGTATGGGAACAGATGTACTGGTGCTTTCAGAAGATCTGATAGGAAAGGAAGTTGATATTTATGTTGGGGTTGTGGCTAAAGACAGGTGTAGCCAGTCGGAGAGCCAGTATTTGGGAAGGATGAAATTGCAAGGCCCGGAGCCGGTATTCACAGAGGAGGCCGAAACAGCTGAGTTGATTCCGGAGTTGGCAGCAAAGAGTTTTCAAAGGATTGACAGTAGTGAAACGAGGGGATTAACAAAGAAAATCTTTACAGACATCCGGCCATTTGTAAACCCTTTGTATGACAAAGGGTTCTCGAAAGGAAGGAACGGAATCTCTTATTTTAGAACAATGATGGTGTATGATTTCGGAGGTTTGGTGCTTTCTTTCGGGAATACCAGCCTAAGCCGCAATTCTTTCCTGGAGTAGTCTTTATATACTTCTCCGCCAGGAATTTTGCCTGTCCCTGTTTCTTTATAACCGAGGCTAAGGATGGTTTTTTTGTAGGAAGCAAAGCGCTTTTCATCCGTTGTTGAAAGTTCAACCATATTTGAACTTTTTTCCTTTACATAATCAAATTTTGAAATCTTATTGAGGTAATCAGGACTATCGTACTCAAATAAACGAAAATCATCTGTTTCGGTTTTGTCGTAATAGCTGTATTTGTACACTTCCTTGATTTCTTTTCTAAAACTGGTTAAGTCCATCTCATTAAATTTTCTCAATTGATCGATACTGAATTGCTGAGAAAAGGCAGAGTTGGAAATACAAAATAGAAGAACGATGAATAGTATTTGCCTGTAGTTTTTCATAATGAATTAAATTCTTGTAGAATGGGGTTGATGTTAAGACGAATGTACAGTTTTAAATAAATGAGCGCATCAGTTTGAGTTATAAATGAGTTTTTTGGCTGGTATAATTAATTGAAAATATAATGAGGTAAATAAAGAGCCACAATTTAGCGGCTCTTTATTTTCTTATTTGCAGGTGTATTCAGCAGTTGCTGTAAATGAATGTGATTCGTATGGGGCAGATGCAGTATTGGTAAACTTGATGACATTTCCTTTTGCATCCTTTTCATAACTAAGTGTTAAGGATCTGCCAGGTAGCGCTCTTGTGATCTTAGTAGGCAGGTTCTTTGATGGCTTTCCGAAATAGCGGCTAAGTACTCCGGTCATGCTTTCCGGTAGATCTGAAATTGAAGGAATGAAGAAATTCGATACTGCGAGATCTGTTCCATAGCTGATGTTGATGGTTGACGTTGGATCTGGAGTTCCTCCTTTTTTCTCAACCTTAGTCAGATTTCCGTTTGTATAAGAATAGACCATCGAATAATTTTCTCCTTGTTTGCCTATGTCTTTTACTTCCGATAAATAGCCATCTGTATTGTAAACATATACGATCTTATCTGTTTCGGAAAGGTTTTCATAGCTGACTCTGCCCTGGTCATCCAGAACATAGTTGATATTGAACGTTTGTGAGTTTCCCAGAGTTTGGGTGATCCTTGTACCGGAGTAAGCATAGGTGGCCTCATTTTTATCGTCGGAACGTGTTTTTACGACTCTTCCTTTGTCGTCATAAGTCAGTGCTTCGGATGACTGAGAGAGATTAGAGCTGAGGTTGGTTTTTATCAGTTGACAAGTAGGCGTGAGTACTGGCGGATCAATGATGACTATGATTTCATCCTTCTTTTTACAGGAGCTGACAGCCAGTATTGCTGAGCAAAGCGTTAAAATTAATGTTTTTTTCATTTCTTGTATTTAATTTGATTGTATGTAATGTGTTTGCAGGTTTTTTGGTGGTATGGTCTGGTTTTTATTTCTCAAAAAGTAACTAATATAGCGCTTATTTTAATTTTTGTTACATCGTTATTGTTTTATTTGTGGTTTTTTATTTCATATTAATTATTTGTTGCTGAATTTATGCCTTTTTATTTATTTACTTTTAACCTTGAGATACTTTGGAAATGTTAATTTTGAAAATTGCAGGTATTTTAAACTCCTGTTAAAAGTTTAGTTGAAATCAAGAGAAATATGACCTGGTTAGCTCATATATAGGGCCAATCGGCTTTGGAGTAAGTGCAACTGATTTCATTCGGATGCAGCGGCAGGAGTTATTGGTTATGGGGCTATTAAAGAATTAGTAGGAGAGATAGGTTAGATGATATGTGCTTTGTTCAATAAAATTTCAAGGAGATTATTAATATGAAATTTAAATATAAAATTAAAAGAACACTCAATATCCGGGCTGAGGTTTTGGAAGAAAAAATTAGCACGTACCTAACTAAAAACTCCTATAGGATTACCGAAAGAGGCCCAGGATACATCATCTTTATGGAAGATGAATTTAGCGACAGAAGGAAATCCAGGTCAGACTTCTATAACAGAATAGGAGAAGGTAAGTTTGTATTTAACAACTCAGTCGATCAGGAAACAAGTGCCGAATTAATTTACCTTACATCGGTTTCTTACTATATGTTTCTCGTAATGCTTGTTTGTGCATTTGGCATTTACACGAATACTATAGTTATGCCCATTGTTTCTTCATTTGCTTTAGCAATACCTATTTTACATAAAATTCTCTACCTGAATGTGCACGTGTTTGAAGAAATTATGGAAGGCTGATTTTTTGGATTGGCAGTTTTTTAAACTCCTGATAAGAGGTTAGTCGAAATAACGAGGAATTAGCGAAAATGAAACGGTTTGATAGAAAACCTGAATTATGTATAGACAACCGGTAAAAAATAAAATATGGATAAAACGATCTTTTTTTCAGAGACACAGCGGTTTAATCAATGGTGGTTGTGGCTTATCTTTTTAGGCTTAAACGCGGTATTTATGTTTTTGCTTTTTCAACAGCTAAAATGGGATGAAGGGCTTGGAGCTCAGTTAACGAAGAATGTTGCGCTTTTGGTGGCTGTAGGATTCGTTTTTTTACTGAGCATCCTGTTTTTTAACTTCCGCCTGGAAACCAGAATTCAGATGGATGGGCTATATGTCCGGTTTTTTCCTTTTCACAAGTCCTTTAAACATTATTCCTGGGATGCGATTGATCGGTCTTATGTCAGAAAATATAGCCCCGTTAGAGAATATGGAGGCTGGGGGATCAGGACAGGGCAAAAAGGAGAAGCTTTTAATATTTCAGGGAACCAGGGATTACAACTGGAATTTAAGGACCATGGAAGATTACTTATCGGAACGAATAAGCCGGAGGAGTTGATTGCAGCGTTGAATAAAATAGGCCAGCTCGCTTTCTAACCTTATCAGATCAAAACCTCTCTTTACTTTTCCTTATATTTTGTTCCCGTTTTGGGAACAATTTTGTACATTTGTATCTATATGCGGGTGATAGCGATTAAAACCTTAAAGGACTATATAAACGAATTTCATCAGGCCGAACAGGCTTTGTTGAGCTGGCATGAGGAGGCGGTATCAGCATTATGGGCTACTCCGAATGAATTGAAAGCGCAGTATAAAAATGCTTCAGTGCTCAGTGAAAAAAGAGTGGTGTTTAATATTCATGGGAACAGTTATCGCCTGATTGTTGATATTGAATACCGGTTAAAGATCGTCTTTGTGGTTTGGTTCGGAAGTCACAATGAATATGATAAGATAAATGCTAAAACAATCAGTTATGTTAAAACCAATTAAGACCGAAGCGCAATATACAGCTGCACTGGCCCGTGCTTATGAGTTGATGCAAACCGATCTCGAAGAAGGTTCTGAGGCTTCTGACGAAATGGAAATCCTGAGCTTATTGATTAAAGATTATGAACTCGTACATTATCCGGTTGCGTATCCAAATCCGATTGACGCGATCAGATTTCGTATGGAACAGATGAACTTGTCAGAAAATGAGTTAAGTAATTTATTAGGCACACGCTCACGTAAATCGGAAATCCTTTCCGGAAAACGGAAACTAAGTTTATCTATGATCCGTAAACTGATCGATATCCTTCATATTCCTGCGGAAGTTCTGATTCAGGCCTATTAATGAACTATCATTAATAGCTTCAGTCGGCATTGTTTCCTAAAATTGTGTGTTATCTCCAATTCAGAAATTAACTAAAAAACTACTCTAAATACAATTAACTAAAGAATACCATGAATCATTGGCTCGTAAAAAGTGAACCCTTTAAATACAGTTGGGAAAAGTTTAACCAGGATGGACGTACCTTCTGGGATGGCGTAAGAAACTACCAGGCGCGCAATAACCTGAAATTGATGAAAGAGGGTGACCTTGTTTTGTTTTACCATAGCAATGAAGGAAAAAATGTGGTAGGAATTGCCAAAGTTGTAAAAGAGTTCTATCAGGACCCGACTACAGAAGATCCGAATTGGGTAGTGGTTGATTTAGCTCCTCTTGAAGCACTAAAAACACCAGTTACTTTAGAGCAAATCAAAGCAGAAGAAAGCCTAAAAGACATTTCTCTTGTCAGACAAGGCCGCTTATCTGTGATGCAGCTTAAAGCAGAAGAGTTTGATAAAATCCTGGAAATGGGTTCTGTGTAATGAACTGCCGCTATTTTTACAGATCGTAACCCGATACTCATAAGCAGCTTGACCTCAGTACTGCAAGGAACAGGAAAGCCGTACCTGGCTCCGGAATTAAAGATTCCGGAGCCAGGTTAACACACCCCACAAGATACTGATCAGGCCTCCCAGGCCAATAAAAGCATCCGTACTGTTGTTTTCTTTTCTGAACATCTTCAGGTAAATAATTATTGTTTCTTATCGTAACTTCGTTTATTCAAAGCCTAAAAAATACACACACAAATCAACCAAACAAACTAAACCACGTTATGAAGAAATTAATTCTCATTACCGTTACCCTGTTGATCCAGGTATTTGATGCTTCGGCACAAATAAACCTGAAGACAAATGATCTGAACCTGACTGTTTCTCAGACGGGGCAGGTCACCGCAATGTTGAATCCTGCGACAGGTAAAAATTATCTGGCTAAAGGAGAG